TGCGAGGCCAGGGGGGCAGGGGGACCCAGTGCCCACCCGTGTCCCGGCTACGGGGTCCGCGCCTTGGTGGAAGCAAGGGGACGCGTTGCCCCCCTCCTCGGTCAGGCCGGTCTTTCTTTTTGACTTCTAACTTGCTTTCTCCCTCACACCGCGGGTATCTGTTCCGTGCCCAGATTCCCAGGGTTTGTTTTGCCGTGCCTGGGAGTTCACCCAGTTCAAGAGGTTTCAACAGAGGAGCAACACAGTGTTACTTTGAAGGTAAAACATAGGCAAGTTAAATCAGTGCAGCTGTAAAAATACTGCTGGGACTGCTCAGGGCAGGTGATGGGATGCTCTGGTCTGCCTGATTTAACTTCAGATCTATCCAGTGATTTTTCTGTGTTTCTGTAGTACAGAAGCCCCAGCGGACCAAATCCCGGGGTCTCTTAGCACATCCCTTTGTCTGTCTTAGTCCTGAACCAGAATTGTTCATTGGAGTCATCTGGCCATGTTACTGCAGAAACAGTTTTAAAAATCCCAAGTGAGTGCTTCCCTTACAGCAGAGAGCACATGCGTTTGCAGATGTCTCTTTGTTAGCATGGGAAGGGGAAGGTGACTGTTTGTGCCCTTAACCTGAAAAACTTGAAGAGCTTTCTGCAGCCATTTAACCTTACCAGGCTTTTTATGGGGCTTGCTTTAATTACCTCTTCTGCTCCTGTGGAACGATAACTTGAAATGAAGAGTCATTAAGTAGAGAAAGAGCATCCTGCAAGTTTCTAAAATCTGACCGCACAACTCACAGTAATAGCAAGTTTCAAGGTACAGAATTGAAGAACAATGAAGGAAACTAATCATAATGCTGAGTTCATACCCCTTCCATCTTGTAAGGCAGTGAGGATTGCATCTTGTAATTTGTTCTTTCAGGATCTGGATGCTGCGTTGCCGCTAATAGAACTCTACAAAGATAAATTGGTGGGGATCGGAGAAGTAAGTAGGATTCTGTAACTTGTTTAAATGCTTATAGCTTTGGCAGCACCTGTCACAAGAATTACAGAAACTTAGTGCTTGTTCAGACTTGTAGAAATACTTATTGCATACACAAACCCACATATTCACTAAGTCTGATTTGTCATTCTCTTAACATGCTTTCCTTCATAGAATTGCCATATTCCCTCTCTTCTTTCATCATTGCTATTAGGAAATAGATGGCATTTGTGCTGGTGGATTTAGTAGGAAGAATTGCATAATTATGCTATATCGTCTTATACTCGGATGTCTTTTCATCTATCCTCTGGCACAGTGAAGTGTCAAGTCACGCTGTTAAACTCATGTATATCCTTCTTGCCCTCTTCTCTGACAAAGTTAGGCTAAGCTATGATTTTGCTACACCTCATGGACTTGTACAGGCCTTTTTTCTTGTTTTCCCTTATTTGTATGTATCCAGGTATTGTCTCCTGTCTTACATTTGTTTATAAACTAATTGAAGCTTGAAAGCTTTAGGGTAGTCTGTTTCTTTTGTGTGTTGATGCCAGAGGGACTTACGGCTGGTTCTGCAATGGCTGCAGAAAGAACAGGTACTGGCAGAGCTTTGTAGCAAAACTTGCCATGTTGCACTTGTACTGTATATCAAGGACTTTGCTTGGTGTAACTATGAATGGGGCTGCTTTGACAAACTTTACATTTTGCCTGAACGTGTTTAAATCAAAAAAGTATAGAATTAATGTGTAATTTTCGCTAGAGATAGGACTAAAAGTACAGGTTCAGGTCAGAAATCTTACTTATGTTGGAAATCTAAATTTGAGATTTAATCTGAAATAATATTCAGTTAGAATATAACCCCCTACAAAACCAGTTACAGATTAAAATGTTAAATATGCTTGTTTGTTAGTAACTATCTGCCCACAAATGCCTTCACAGTTGAAAAGCTTATGGTTGAGAATGGATTCCTTTCTGAGTTAAGCTACAGTTTAGCTCATTTTAATTGCAGCCTCTAGGATCTATATTTTGAAATGCCTTGCAGTTTTGAAGCATTTTTTTGCCTTAATATATGATATTGTGGTGTAGTTAAACATTAGATCTGTAAATTACTTTCACTTCTCTTCTTGTACTGTAGGTTGGACTAGATTTCACTCCCAGATTTGCCAGCACGGATGAACAGAAGGAAGGACAAAGACAGGTTCTGATCAAGCAGATTGAGTTAGCAAGAAGACTGGATTTGCCTTTGTAGGTTTTGTTTATACTAGTAGGAGAATTGGCCAGATCTCTGTAACATTTGAAAATATATCTCAGGATTTATAGTTAAGAGCCTACACAGCTTTTCTTACATGGATTAAACTGGCATTGGTGTCCTGTCAGTCTCCAGTTGAAGATTTAATTATAGAATTTTCCCTATGTTTGCACGTGAATACAGTGGTCTTCCACATCCTGTCCTTGTTACGTTGTTGCTATGTCTTCACTGTAGCTAAAATTATTATTACGTAACTCTAGATTTTTTTCCTGATAAAAGGTGTAATACAGATTAGTTATTTTCTTCCCAAGCTGCTGTTAGTTCAATTGTGTTTACAAAAAAAAAGGTATTTTGCTGAATTTCCTAATGCCAGGCCTCTCCTTGCTGTGCAGAAATGTCCATTCCCGCTCAGCTGGAAGACCAACCATTAATCTCTTAAAGGAACAAGGTATGTTTTTAGTGCATTTTCTCTGTCATGGCTTTTGTCAACAGAATTTCTTCAGTTGTGCCATGTCCTCACATCGGTTTGTGTATGTGGAACGTGGGAGGAATAGTGCAGAGATTCTGTACTCATTCTTTGTGGGACTGAGGTTACATTGGAAGCTGACATTGCAGACCTACTGTAAACACTACTAATGGTTTGGGTTGCTTCTTTTCTCTGAGGTGCTACAAAGGTGTTGCTCCATGCATTTGATGGGAAGCCATCTGTAGCGATGGAAGGGGTGAAAGCTGGATACTTCTTCTCCATTCCTCCTTCCATTATAAGGAGTGAACAGGTAACATTTAAAGAGGTTTTCTCCTTGGTGCTTAGGGATTGCAAGTAATTGCTGACAGCTTATTGTGGTGGCAAACATGACTGTCTTCACTGTGCAGCTCAAGAATATGCTTTTTTTTTGAGTCTGTGCGGTTTGAAATGCGATTAGCGGTACTCGCCTATGACTGCTGTCACTTGATGCTTCTCAGTAGAAGTTTCAGTTGTTACAGTGTTGCACATTTTCACTTTGGCTGAATTTCTACCTGAGACGTTTGCCTTGGCTAGACTTTTGGGAGGAAATTTTTGCTAATACAGTTCAGCTATTCCTGAGAAACAAGGGTTAAGAAAATAGGTGGTTTTTTTCTCTCACATGATTTCTGGTGAACTCTGGAAGCATCTGTCACTGCACTTTTTTAGAGTAGGGATATGACATGCGGAAAAGGACTGGTTTCTGTCTCAATGCTGTGGCACTTTTTGTTCAAAAGGAAATTGCTCACAGTTGGCTAAGTTATCACAAGGTGCACTCAGCAAAGCAGCTGCTAAATTGCTCTAAGACAGCACTGGTTAGGTTCAGCCCTTGATTTGGGGAGAATGCTTTTTTAATTTCTACTCTGGGCTGCCACAAGCTATGCTAACTTCCTATTTTGGGGTAGCAGTCTGTTTCCATCCTGCACCATCATCACTTTCTATGATAAGCACAGGAAATGTAAGAAAGCAAAAGACGTGATTGCAGTGGAGGGGATGTGAGAGATGGATATAAGTGGGGATGAGGTTAGGAGCTTGGAGAAAGGAAAGCGATCTGGGGATGAGGGGTGAAGGCTGAGATGGGTAAAAGGTGCGTAAATATTGTATATACAGAAAAATAGCAAAATTGCATGGGCAACTCTAGGATATTTTGTGCAATATAACTACATAATTTAATAAATAAACATGTTTATATAATAGTACTTCAGATACTTGGAAAAAAAGGATAATCCTGATTTGAAGGGGCTTTTTGAGCAGGTCCTGGTATTTTTTCTTCCATTCTGAAATTGCTGATAAAATGCAGACAGTGGCACCAAAGTCTTTTAACACTGCCTTTAAATGCAGAGGATATCCCCCTTCATACATATTTTTCCCACGGGTCTAAGTGCTTAAAGCGTTTAACAGCTGTCTTATTTTCTTCAAGAAGCAGAAGCTTGTGAAAGTGTTACCTCTGGAAAGTATGTGCTTAGAAACTGATTCTCCTGCTCTGGGGCCTGAAAAACAGGTAAATGATGGGGGAGGTAGTTCTATGCGTGTATATCCAAACCCACACCTTATAGAGGTTAGTTACTGGTGTGGGAGAGTGAAGTGGTGTAAGCACGGACAAGGGACAAAAGAGGTTGCCAAGTGAAAATGTTGAGATTAAAACGTCAGTGTTCCTGAGGATGGGAAGGGAGAAGAAATTCCAGGAATGGAGAAAGGGAAAAATAATCCAAGAATAACAGATAGATGTAATTTCTCTGGCACACATGCCACAGTGTCACTGAAGTTGTGTCGGGAAGTAGTGAATCTGAAACACCTGTCATCTGTAAGGATCTGCAATTTGATCTGGTTTTTTGGTTTGGTTTGGTTTTTTTTCAGGTCAGAAATGAACCAAAAAATATTTACATTGCTGCAGAATACATTGCCAAAATTAAAGGAATTCCAGTTGAAGAAGTTATAGAAGTGACTACTCAGAATGCACTGAAAGTATTCCCCAAACTTCGGAACTTTCTTCGGATATAGACTTAGAAACTGAAATATATGATATTGCAGAAACTATTATTTATGGTATAATAAATAAAACCAAAATGCATCGTGTCCTTCTCAGACTCCTTGCTTGGCTGCTGCTATCCTGGAAGATGGCTAATGTGTGGTGCTTAAGGTCCCCCTCATTCCTTAATTTCTGCTGACTGGATTGGTTGTGGCCCCACTCATGTGATCACAGAATCACAGAATCACTCGGTTG